CAACAATCATAAGTGACATTTGAAGTTTTGAAAACGTAATATTTTATTTCGGGGATTTAATTTTTACAGAATTATACCAACATAAAATGTGTATTAATATAGCAGTATAAAATGTTATTGTTAATTTTTATATTTTTTTATTATTTTTTATAGTTATTTATTTATATTTTTATTGTTAAGTTGTTAAGTTGAATTAGACATAATATATTATTATCGTAATTTAAAACAAAAAATAATTTATTTATAAAATATATAATTTTTTTAATAATTATTATAATATAATATACGTATTTGTAATTAAATATTAATTATAGATACTAATTAACGTTTAAAAAATATTTGTTTAACCATTTGCATGTGGTTGTGAGTAATATTGTAGTCCGGGGATTTTTTTTCCAGGGGATTTTTATTCCGATTACCATTAATATAAATTATATTGAAATTGTACGTTTTTTAAAAATAATTGAAATTTTAAATTATAAAAAGCCATTTAAATGTAGTAATTTAAAATATCGGGACCAAACGTCCTATGAGACGTTACGTTATGTACACCATATTATATAAATCTATTATAATATTATGTAAAATTAACAAACACCTATAATCTATATTTTAATATATTAATATATATCACACATTCGCATCTAATATAATGAAAAATATAACAAGTTAAAAGAATCGCAAAAACGGTAAGGGCAACATAACAGCAACAATTTCAGTCAACTAGTACTTTTTTTTTATTTATGTATAAATTTGTTAGTTATTATATTCAAATAAGGTAAATAACATCACATAACTCCCGGGGGCCAAATTTCCTATCTTAATAATAGACGGGGACGAAACTTCTGTGGACTCGCTTTTTTGATGGGGGCGAAACGTCCTTTTACCAATATGGAGTTTCCACAGCCCCACAAACCTCTGATGACTGCCATTGTTTTTTGAATACTTACACAAAATAAAAATAGGTAGGCACCTGCAACACTAAAATTTCCATGACAAATATTACACTACATCTGGATATACAACTCTACAGCTCCCTCTCGAACAGGATTTATATAACTTCAAAAGTAGGTACTTATAGCAGTGCATAAATGTGAATCGAAACTTATTATTTTTAACGAGTTAGATTAGATCATTTTACCCATTAAATTCAACTATAGGTAGTGCAGTTATACAATTACTATGAATTAAAATTTAAAACTAACTAGTTAGTGCCCAGCTTTGTCCAATTTATTACAAAGACATTTATTTTTTTAAATTTACATAGCTACTATGGGTTTTATAATATGATGGTAATAATTCATATTTATTATACATATATAATAATCATAAGCGTGTTTCAGAAAAAAATATAGGTACATTAATTATTAATTATTATATTAAACAATTAATATAGTATTATATTATTATGATATATATTATTATTGATAAAATATATACGAATGAGCATAAGTAAATGATTGATAGAATATAAGTTATGATCACTCTGTATATAAAAATGTTAGTTTAATTTGTTGTATAATATTATATTCTGTGATTACTATAGTATATCTAAATACAATTATTAGACTAAAATTATATATATATATCCCCTGAATTTGTTTTTGCGATATTTCCCGAAATAATTGTGCACAAATGATCGGACTTCGTGCACATTCATGCACAAACGATACACAGTCAGAATTTCCAAATTCCAGATCGGGGGGCCTCAGGAATGGACCCCCGAATTTGTTTTTGCGATATCTCCGGAAATAATTGTGCACAAACGATCAGACTTCGTGCACATTCGTGCACAAACGATGCACAAACGATTGGCACAATTAGAATTTTAAAATTCCAAATTGGGGGGGCCGGAGAAATGGACCCCCGAATTTGTTTTTGCGATATCTCCGGAAGTAATTGTGCACAAACGATCGGACTTTGTGCACATTCGTGCACAAACGATGCACAAACGATTGGCGCAATCAGAATTTGAAAATTCCAAATCGGGGGGGCTGCCGTTTCTACGGCCCCCCGAATTTGATTTAGGGATAATCTCCACAGTTTTTGTGCACAAACGATGCACAAACGATTGGTGCAATCAAAATTCAAAAATTTGAAATTGGGGGGGCTGTAGAAATGGACCCAAGCCTTCAAGGTAGGTTACATTCAGGTTACCTACATAACTTTGACGACAGGACGACTTTCGTAATTTTCGGTATCTAAGTGTAAAATAATTTAAAATGTAATATTTTATGCTTGGACTCATACTAAATACAGTAGTACCTCTTCTCAATAATGATAATATATACCTATTACAAAATACAATAATATTAAATGAAATATACCTATATACTTGCATAATATGATACGTAGGTATAACGTATTACCATTGGTTATAAATACTATAAGTAAAAATAGTAGTATTTATAATCAATGGTATTGGTGTCATATTATTAATATTCTGTACATTTCTACGAATAACCAATATAATAACTATTATTATAAATTATTATTTATTAATTAATATAATTAATACCGAAAAGTTTTTTTTAAGCTCATAATATGTTGAGGGAAATTTTTTTTTTCAATGTCTCCCAGTGATAATTCCTAAAAATAACCCACTGGCTCTCACACATACACAGTCACATATAAATGATATAATCTTCGTTATTTATGTATAAATCATTTCGTCTTTGTGAATAAATTATTATATAATATGTAGATTAAAGCCACTAGTACGCCGCTGGATCGGCTGCGCGAATTTAATTAACGAGGCCGCCGTAACATTTTTTTGTCTTCCTCCGTCCATCGTCGTTAGGGCTCTTTAATAACAGGTAAAGACAGCCGCCATTTTCTTTCCAATTGGAATTAATGCAGAATTAATACAAACTATACAAATATTTATCAAAACAAGTACGTCTATGAAAAATCGTTAATAATCGTTCAAATATATATTTTCCTATACCTTTATTCATTAATTAACAAAATTTAATTTCACAAAATAAATTTAATAAATACATGACTAGCTATCATCATTTATCAGCTTTGGAAAGAAAATGGCCGCTGTCTTTACTCGCGTCTATTAGAGCCTTATCGTCCTGAGCAATCCGTGAAGGATATTAACATAAGAAAAAAGGTGGGCAACCTAAGTTGGTGTCGCTCTGCTGTACAGTAGGTCACAGGTGGGTCACTGTATAATGGATGGTATTACATTTGATTTAAATGATATTATATCATTGTATAAGAAAAACGATTCTGAGCGGACTTCTAGGTATAAGACATATTATATACTAATCTATGGTATTAATAAAAATATTGACCTATAATGAATTCCAAATTAATCATATCACAATATCCATTAGGTACTTATAACGGGTTATACACCAACAACAAACCCTGATACTACCATAGATATATATAAGTATAGGTACTTTAGAAGTTTCAAGTACCCACGAATAATATTATACAATCACAACAAAATAACTAAAATAGTTATTCTAGGTTTTTTATTATGTAATTTTCTTCCAAATTTGAATTTAAAATGTCTGTAAAAAAAAAATGTCACTCATATCTAAGCAGCGGATTCATATTTTATGACTATTTATGACTATTATTGACTATTGACTGCGTGTGGGCTACGGCCATACGGGCGCCTTAATTTAATTTTATGTTTATCAGATTATCTCAAATTTGAAATTTATAAGATTGTGTGGTATGTTTTTTCGTTATCGTTAATATTTCGGCTGGATTGCACCTGGACAATATTTTTCGTACAAATACAATCCGCGACAAAATTATTTTTACAATAATAGTATCTTGTATCTTTTGGCAAAAAAAGATACATGATACTGGTATAAAATGTATCATGATACATGATACTTGATTCATTAAAATTATGTATCATGATACAAGATACAAGATTGTATCTTTGATACTGCCCAACCCTGCCTACCTATAATATTGATTGTAATAATTGTATTATAAATTATTGCTATTATTTTTAATAACATTAATAAATAAACCGGACTTTTGTTTGCCGTACTTTTATTAGATCGGACTTTTTTCCGAGGGTCTTTTTTACCGGACTTTTATTCGCCAGACTTTTGTTCGTAGATTCGTAATTTTTGCAATAAAAATAATACATCAATGAATTTATAAAACAACATAATACTAATATACTATACAAATAAATTTTTTAACCACACAAGTACAATGTACATAAGTACCTGTTTGAATAATTGGGAGAATTTTTTTTGTGATAATTCCATCTTCAGTTAATTTGTTTGTAAATATACATGCATATATACAATTGTAGGTACTTAGTTTATTATATATATAATTGTTATTTCGTGTTATTAAAAAAAAAATTAATTGCAGATTTATAATTATAATAATACGACTATACAAAAAAAATTAGTCCTTCCAAACTAACGATTTAGATAAGTATAAGAAACGGTTTGTCTCTGGACACTTTGTTATTCGGCACCATATTACCATCATCACACTATAATATAATAATATACAGATTATTATATTATTGAATTTCAGTTGCCCCTAATACATTTAGTAAATGCAACTTAATATAACTGGTGACAACCCATTCTCTTATCAGTGGTGTAATAGCTAACTAAGGAGGAGCTATCTTCACAGACATAGCTCGAAGCGGTCACGTCACATCGTTCGCGCGCCCTGAAAACAATCTGCCGCTCTCGACCACGTATGCCACCATTTTGAAATAGTGTAACCTTTGTCTAATCGATCGTAATAATAATAAATCAACGCGATACATTATAATTAGTAGGATAGTGTGTGCTTTGTTCGAAAAAATTCGAACAACACCGTGCTCGTAAGAATTTGCGTACATTCTTTTTTGTCGATCTTTGTTCGCGAGCCATGTTGAGCGTGCGGCTAACCTCGAGACTGACTCTCCGAGGTCCGCATTTCTTTCGCGTCCAAGTGCGCTTCTTTTTCGCCGTCAAACCGTTCGCCAGACGTTTCAGAATGCGCGTCATTTTAACATGCATGGCGGTGGTCATTGCGTTACTTTAACGACGTGTACCCGCGGCATGGTCCGTTCCGCTGCGCAAACACTCTGCCGGCCGACGGTCGCGACGCCATATTATTATGTTTCGCCGACTCGCGATGTTCGTGCCGTTCGGTCGACGCGGGTGGCGCGTTCCTTTCGCCGCCGTGACCGGTCGACAATATTACTCTTGTCTACGAGTAGGCATTCTCCTGCCGTGCAAACATCACCACCTGTCGCATATTCGTTGACGAGAACGAATGCCACAGCCACGACAGCCGACCGTCGTGCAATACCTACTGACGATTTCCACATACCTACGTGTTGCCGAACCGCCCATCGTGTCATCTCCCGTTTTCCATCTCCGAAGACGAACATCGGGAACAGAGGTCGAATAATAATATTATTATTATTCATTTTGGGTATTAAAATAAATAAGCATTTTTTTTATTGTGAATCTTATGTTGAGATTTTTATATACATAGACACAACACGCATTGATTGTCTCCCCTCTTACCCTATTAGTTAGGCCAACTGTACGTCACAGATCTTGCATGTGGTATCAATGTAGTAAAATACAGTCCAATTCATTTATTACCGAAATTCGGTCGTAGGTCTTTTTCAACGTCTCACTCACATTAGACAATCATCCTACCACATCCCGCTACAACTTTTATTTTAAGGTATTTCAGTACATTTTCAGCCAAAGTACATTGTATATTTATCAACGACAACACTGAAAATAAATAGCTATTTATTTTATTTAAAAACAAGTTTTTGCACAGAAAATGCAATTAAATCATTTTTAACAATTACAATGAATGATGAAAGAGAGCTCAGATTAGTATTATAAGTTTATAAATTAGGTGTATTGACTAATGAGTATTAAAAAATTAAATTGTAATTGTTAAAAGTTTGTTTTATTATATTAGATAGGTATAGCAAAATATCTAAAACATAAAACAACATATTAACAGTTAGGATTATACTATCATTTTTTTAGCATTAAGTATGTAAATAAATAATACTTTAATCTAACACTAACTATAGACATTATAAACAGGAAGACAGAAGACTGTAAGATTTTATGACTAATATATTTTAAATTTTAATACCTACATGTAATTGTGTAATTGGAAATTCAAAGCTGATGATGATTCAAATTAATTTTTCTTTTTTTAGCATAAAATATACACAACATTATAAAAAACTTAATAAATTGTTATAAACTAAAATATTTATAATATTCACCTTTCACATAATTATGATAATTGATGATAAGGCAATTATGAATGATCCTCCATTTATTTCATATTTAAGGTTTTACTAACTCTTTAAGATGCGTTAGGTACACATCAAAGGCATCTTCATTTTGTTTGGCTGTACAAAACTTATAGTGTACCATAATTTCATTTACTCCTAGTAAACAGTATTTTTCTAATTTTTCTTCTTTATTTTTATTGAATAATTGTGTCCACGTGAACTTTTATTAGGTTGAACTTAGGTTTTTATGTGATTTTGTATTTGAGATCGATTTTGAGTTGGATATTGTAAGGGGATATTCAGATTGGAATCCTGTAGCCGTTCTCCCATTGAGCCATGTTCAAGGAATATCAGTTGATATATATTAGCAATATTTATTTTTAATTATTATAACTGTCTAAACTGATTTAAAAGCTATTTAATTAATAGAGAACAAACATTTAGAATTAAGTTAATTGAAAGTGCAATTTGAATTCTGCTTTCTAGCTGGTTTTTAGGACATAAAAATACACATTTTTATGGCCTTTGAATTTTTTAAGCTTAGTTAGACCTTGCGCAGTACAAATTTTTTCTTAAATGGCAAACACCTATTTTAACCAAAATTTTTTTAGAGTTACAGTAAAAAAACCTGAAAATATCGTGCATTTTGCAGTATTTTTGTTGATTGGCTGTTTTATTAAATTTTGTCAATTTTGTGCTTAGGAAGTTGGTTAAACTACCAAAATTTAAGAAAAATAGTTGTACTGCTCATGCGCAAGTCTAATTAAGTTTACAAAATTCAAAGGCCATAAAAATTTGTATTTTTATGTCCTAAAAACCAACTAGAAAGCAGAATTCAAATTGCAGTTCTCTACGCAAAGATATCGAGTGTTCTCAATTTGCATTTACAGTTTTACACACTGTATATTTTGTTAAATTATTAATAAAAATGTGTCGATATAATTTAAATATTTAATAATCATGTAAAGTAAAATAGGTACATACACTAAATATTACGATTAAAGTGCAATAAAATTGTTTATTATCATTTTGGAAATTAGAAATAATGCAGTCACTTGCTATGTAATCAACATACTAATTAAAAAATGTAGATTAACTTTTCTTAACTGAGTTAAGTTAATATTTTTCCCATATTAATTTTTAACTTATCGAGTTAAATTTCTAATTTGTTAACTGTTAACTTTCTTCATCGATCTTGTGTCCTTTTATCTGAACTTGAGTTAATTATTTTCATTAACTTTCCCACCTTTGCTTACAAATATATGTTCAATTATTAACTACAAATAGGAATAGGAAGACTTGGTGTTCAAATACTAAACCAACCACATAGCCACATAGGTATCTTCTGATTTTCATTTCTTTGTACAATCTAGAATTTAGGCGTCAATTAGTTTTACTCCATTTTTGTCACAAAGAGACTCATAAAATTGTATGTACCTACCAGCCTACTAAACGCACAAATAGGGAGAAGGGATTTGGTGACCAAGCTATCACCATCAAATTGAACAGTCCTCCTCAATATATTCTAATTTTTTTTAAGCTTATTCAATATTATAATAATAGGAGTTTTCAGGCTGTAGCCTCTCCAAATCTCAAACACTATTTGCTCCAATACTACCTACCCAAACATAATTTATTTAAAAAAATATTTTTGAATGTTATCTAAGTATGATTATTCAGACCATTGTACGTGCACTAAAATACAAAAAATGCTTAATATTCACAAACATGCTAAGAATTGGTCAAATATGCACTTTTCCTAAAATATTTATAATATATATATATATATATATAAAAGATAAAATATGGGAAATGAACAGTGAGAGAACATATAAATATAATCATAATATAATTTTTAATAAGTACCTATTATATTTTATTTGTTATTTAATATTAAATTATTTTAATATTATAACTTAAACTATGTATTTTTTAATTTGAACTACCATTCTCTAATTTAGGAAATGAGGATCCTGATATGATTGTGAAGACGGAATATGCGGCTAGGCAACGGCAACTAGATATGGATAACATCCCAATTGTGCGAATTCCACTTGTTCTTCCTTCATTGGAAAATCAACATCAATTGTGTATAATATGCACTGTGGAAGAAAGAACACACACCTTAATACCATGTGGCCATAAAATAATATGTGTCATGTGAAGATTGTCTAAATCATTTGGAACCTAAGCTTACACCCTTTGCAACGACTATTTCACTGGTTCTTTTTATCGTTTTATCATGAAAACCCTTTTTTTTGTACAATTTTGTTTTTAAGTAATTTTTTTATTTTATAAAAAGGTATTTTTCATTTTAATTTATATTATATTGTTGTATAAAATATATAATAAAGTTATATACCTATTAAGTTTTTGTTTTTTTTTTTTTTTTTTAAATGTTGAAAATAACAACTAGGTACAATTACATACAATAAATAACAAAAATAATTGTTGTATCATAGAAATTAGTAATTACAACTATTCTCTACACTATAGAATGCAACTTCTTAACAAATGTGTATACCTAGTGATTGTTTTTATATATAAAATATTTTTAATTTATGGTAACGGAAATCGTTATATTCAAACTAAGTTGTACACGGCATCTAGAAAAGTATATTAATAGTAATGGTGTATTGCACTATTAAAAAAGTAACATTGAAAACTTTGTCAAAAAAAAAAATTCTCAGAATAATAATGTGTTATAATAGGTACCTAAAGCCATTTATATTTTATTTCAAAATATTATTGTTTGCATCAATATTTAATGCTCACAAAACATGATTGTAGCACTGTTGTAATATTATAATAAAAATAATTCAAATTCAAAAATTTCCCATACCTACCATATTTACAAAACTTGATTGTAAGTTCTCATAGATAATTTATCTGAATTGGTTTCCACTGTACAATGTGTGAGCCCCATCCTTTAAATCAATTATTTCCACAAGAATTCATCTCTCCGCTACTCAGTTCTGAAATATAATTATAATGGTTAGTTTTAAAAATTATAAATCGATCCACAAAACCGCAATTTCTAGTTGTAGTATTGAAAAATGAAGATTCGTGTTGGGCATTTTAAGTTAGGTAGCAATATTGATGCATATTGCCCTTCCTAAAAAAAAAACCTTTGCATATCATTATTGACTATAATAATTTCTACTACTCATTTACAACAAACATAGCCTATGGTTGTCAAACCTTATAGGGAAAATTCTTATGTCAAGGTGATCTGGCAATGTCGTTATATTGGGTCCATCTTCGTTTTAAAGCTACCGCTGCAGTCCGTGGGGACCTTTTATCAATATTATAAAAATGGTAAAAGACGATTGTATGAATATAGTTTACCTCTTTGTTCAGATTCTCCGTTGTAATTTCCAGGCATACAGCATTGTAGAAGAAGCAATGTGAGCAACAGTTCCTTCTCCGGCTCTCGATTAAACCGAAAAAAAAAAAAAAAAAAAAGGCATATAGCATTGATATAGGAAAATGTAATTACGATTTGCGGATTGCAGGTACTATGTGTTTGCCAAAGACATTAGACCTAGACGGTCATTCAACAAGTGACTCGAGCGGAGTAAGTACCGTAGTTGTTGCTCTCGGTAGGCGCGACATTCGCAACAATAAAAAATTACTTCGCGCCGAGGGAAAAGCAATGATGATCGGTTTTTTTTTCGATTTGACGCGTGAACGTCGTAAGCAGTCTATGTTATCTATAAAAATTATATAGGTCTTATCACAAATAAATTGATGTTTAAGTACCTATATAATATATATAAATATATTATGATTTTTTACCTCTACTAAAATTTTACCTCTGTATAATATGTCTTTTGTTTGCAAACAATGTAATGCAAATTTTACCAAAAAATATAATTTCAGCCGACATCAATCAACTCACCACCAAAAAAATAAAGACGTTGACAATAAATTCGTAAGTATTTAAGAGACAAGAGTTATAACTTCTGGTATATTTTTTTCTTGATACAAATTTGATATAAATAAGTGTTCTGCTTGAAAAAATCAAAGATCGACTGGGTAGTGTGTCACCAAAAACAATTATGTCAGATGTGCAGACTTCATATTTTAACGGTTGGATAAAAAAAAATGAGTCCTGTGAATCACAAACTATTTTGCACGTGGTACCTATGTGCACGAAGCTTGGCGTAAAAATTTGTCCAAATAAAAAATAAAGAAAAAAATGTATTAGTCACTAAAATTCTATATGATTTATCTACTGAATTAGATATTAGAAAATTTCAAAACAAACTACAAGCTAATTTATATTTTCAAAATTTTTTCAAATATTTTATTATACAAATTAAGGCAGAATATATTACAAGAAATTGAGCAATCGTTTCATCAGATAACATCATGAGAACAACTACAACAGTTAAATAAAAAACTGGTTGCACCCATCCATGTTTCCATTGCTGCTTCAAAAATTGAAGCTGTGCCTTTGATACAAAAAAATAAGTTGGAAAGGGGTAAAATGAAACCACAAAAGAGAATTTTATTTTTGACATAGGTCTACGTTGAATTTTAATTCCAATACATTAATTTGGTAATACTAATTTATTTTTCTATTACAGGTGCAATAAAACAAGGCACCTTGCCTTTTAGAAAACTAAATTTTCTTAATTTTAGGATTTTTCAGCAATAGCATTAATGATAAATTTGAATTATTAATTATTATGAACTATGTTCGGGTAATGAACTGTAAAAAAAAGTAACAAACAATATTGAATTAAAATGAATTATATTAATTTTATGTTGTATTATATTTTTGTAGGATGTATTAGATAAAGTTTAATAAATTATTATTATTTTTTTTTCGTAGGACGTATTTTAGAATTATCATTCTTACATTTTAGATTCTGAGTGAAACGATTTTCCAATGATGTGTGTTTTTTTTAAAATTTTTTTTTGTGTCTGTCATCACGTTTTAGGACAGTAAAAGTGCTTGGATTTTCTTCATCAGTAGCTTTTCTGATAGGAAAGTGAATCTAGTTGGTACTTTGGGGGGTCAAAAGTATAAATTTCCCAGTAGTTTTCATAAGCACCGGGAAAAACAACATAGAAATTAAGGAAAAACGGGAATTTTTACGCAAAATCGATTTTTAACAAAATCGAATTTGGGTTTTGGTGTAACTTTAAAAAAAAATGACCGTAGATACATGAAATTTTCACTGGTTGTTTATATTTGCATTTTCTATACACGATAACATTTTCAAAACATTTTGATTTATTTTGAACTGTTTATAGACATTTTCATTTTCCATTTTTTTTTAGTTTTTTTTCTAGAAATATCAATAAAATATTATCTGTTGGTTAAAAAAGCTTGAAAATTTAATAGAAGGTTCATAGTATATTGTTTCAAAGGCAGATGAAAAATATTAAAAATCCTTAGTCACAATTTTTTTTTATAAGCACTTAAAGTTCAAAAATTGACAAAATATGGAAAAATCACGAAAATTAGCAAATTATTTTGAGTTAAGAATTCGTAAAAATTTTTCTTTTTAAATCTAAGATGTGAAAATGTAATACAAGATTCCTTATAAGATTATATACCTTTATCAAAAAAAAATGTCTATAAGAAAGTCAAATTAAATTTTTGTGAGCGTTTGAAATTCAAATTTTTACAACATTGGATATTCACTCGATTTCTCATGAAGCGATTTCCTTATTTTGTTGTAATTCAAAAACGAATAACTATAGATACATGAAAATTTTATTGAATGTTTATATTAGCATTTCATATACACCATACAATTTTGAAAATATTTTGACTCTTTTTGGGCTGTTTACGGACATTTACAGCTTTCAATTTTTTTTAGTTTTTTTTTCTATAAATATCAATGTTTTATCCGTTGGGCCAAAAAGTGTAAAAATTTAATACAAGGCTCCTGATATATTGTTACAATATCAGTTGAAAAATATTAAAAATACATAGGCACATTTTTTTTTATAAACATTTAGAGATCGAATTTTGACAAAATTTATCAAAATCTTGAAAATTATCAATCATTGTAATTAATAAATTATAAAATGTTCAGTGTTACTTACCAATCCTTCGTATATTTACGTTGGATATTGATTACGTGATTTTTCTGGTATGAGGTAACCATTAATATAATTGTAGTTTGTAAGAACGCAAATGAAAATATATCGTATCTAGTAAATAATGAATAACGTATAATAATTATAATAATACGAATTCGCGTACAATGACTGCGGTACAAAATATAATATACTTAAATGTATGTTAGTGACGTAATAATAATAAAGACAAGTATAAATTTATAATAATGTATAATAAATAACCTATAACAATGTATGGCATATAGCCAACTCACGGTACCACCGATGGACGGATCCTGGAGTGAAGGCGATTGAGTGATGATGATGTGGTGGATAAAGCTGACGTCTTGGATGAAGACGACGATGAGGGTATGCATATGGGAGCGCGTGCATATAAGGTAGTACACCTACAGACGGCTAGTGCATATAGGTAGGTACGTACATTGTATGAGTGTAATTATGCCCCACGGACGCAAAGTATTATACTTATGTGTAAAATAATATAATAAGTGACCTATGCAGCACGGACACAGAACAGTATAATTTATTATAGTATTATAATAATACTGACATCTCGTTCCCAATTTTGCGTATAACGGCGCGAACGGAGATAGTCATTTTATACTGTGCGAATCACCACTGACTTGTCTCTATTTGAATACACTATTATTATTTTTAATTTAATTTTTTTCTGGACGACCCTTGTATGGCAACACATTCAGCGATTCATTTTTATATTATAGATAGATATATATTTACAAAAAATAATAATACTAATCAACAAACATGCCGGATTAAAAAAAAGTAACCAATAAATAATACACCATTACTATTTTAATCTGCAACAATAAACTAATTATTTAGTTTATATTTTTCTGGATAACCATTATGACTTAGGCGTATGAAAAATAGATAGTAACCGATTCTCAGACTTACTAAATATGCATATAAAATTTCATGAAAATCGGTAGAGCCGTTTCCGAGGAGTATGGTAAATTGGTAACTAACATTGTGACACGAGAATTTTATATATTAGATAAAATATAATTCAAAAATTAACTACCAAAATCGAAAAAGTGTCGA